TAGGCAATGTCCAGAAAGGATACAGCAGTAATAAAGCTTATGACAATGGCAAGGGTAAATGTGGGATGAATTGAATGAATTCTGGCCAACCTTCGGTCTTTGTTTAATTTCCACTGAACGCAGTAGTCCCAGCCATTAAGAGGCACAAGGGGCGTCAGTGTCTCGGATAGATTTTGCGTGCTGCTATTCATGTCACCTGCAATGTGATTAATGAAAGCCAAGAAGAAACCAGATCCCAGTCAACAGCTTGTGAGATCAGATGACAAAATGAGTTGCTTATATATCTATGGATAAAAATATCATTGGGGAATACCCTCTTTGCTAATGAAGAAGAATAGAAGATGCAAACAAATGAAAAACACTATAATTCCTGTTTCCTATTTGTGAATAAATTGAGAAGTGGCCGTTAAGTGGTAGGTGAAGTGCAGAGATGGTGCATGAGAGACGGTGTTTCAGTGTAGTAGTTTAATTGGCTGGTTTCAAGGAAGGGTAAGGACTATGGAGGAAGAAGGCGAAATGAAAGATCCATCAGTTGGTGACGGTCAGGGGCATATTGCATGACCCATGGCCGTCGCCCAAGATGGAGTTCAAAATCTTATCCACCTTATTCCAGTCTTAAAAAGCATTTAGATAAAAATTGAATCATGATTTTAAAATATATGAGAAAAATTTTATTTTGACTTGCATAAAAATATTTTTAACTAAATGTCTATAAATATTTTTTACATAAAAAGATTTAGAATTATCCAAACACCCGTTAAATGTCTAACTAACCCTCTCTCCCTGTCTTCTCCTGCCCAAAAAAAACAAAGAAAATAGAAAACAAGAATAAATAAATAAATAAGATACAAAATAGGATTAACCGGTTCTCCCACGGGTCACTTATTCGAATCGCATTGAGAAAGGAGACAGATAATTAGGCTTGGTGATATAATTTTCTTCAAATTTGATCACTCCATCATCTATAAACCTTGATAAATAAAAAATTCCTTAAAGTTTCAGATTTGTGCAAATATATATACACGTTGATTAGGCTGTTATTTCACTGACGATGGATGAAGTATATTACATCATTCATCATATGCTCTCTAAATGTTTTTATGGTTGCAAACAACTTTTATGTGTAAATGTCTTTTTACACTTCAATTATATAAATCATTTGTCATATTATATTTTATTAATGAAATAATAACGATTTTTTTTTAAATTAAGAAGGTTATCTAATATAATCCAAAATTTAAATTAATTATGTATAACTTAGCAAATAAACTATGACAATAAAAACCCATTTAATTAGATTTTATGACAAGGATATTACATGTAATCTTAACATTGAACCCTGTCAAAGCCCTCAGCCCATATCAGACAGCTTAAATCAACCGTTATCTTTCTGCTCAATTACGTCTTTGGTGGATCCATAAACGCAACTCATCAAATGATGTCATTAGGATGTCATTCCTTTAATTAGTACTTTACCAAACAATAATACTACCTCCGATTTTAATTATAAGAGCTAATTGACTAATTTAAGAAGATTGAAAAAGAGTTAAGTTAGTTATTTGTAATAAATAGGTGTTATCTTTCCTAAAATATCTGTACTAATCAAGTATATTAGGCTATTGGCTAGAATTACTATTATTAAAAGGATTATCTTGAAAAAAATACTTAATTATGAGAGACAAAGTATATTGGAGTCTTATATTTAGGACCAAAATAAAAATAAATAAGATATTATATTAAAGACCGAAGGTAATAATTATTATTAACTCAATCATCATCTCAATCTCTAGCAAAAACTTTGGTACAAAAAAAAAGAGTCAACTCAAATCTCACTTGATCATGCTTGTGGGAACAAAATTACTCCTTTAATTATAATTTAGGTAATTATCTCATGTCCATACATGAGCTCCACCTTTTTAATTAACCTGAATCTTTCATGTTCAACCATTAGCCATGTATAGATTCTCGAAGCAAAATTGAGCACTTTTGGATTAGTTTCATCGTTATAAAACATAAAAATTAAAAACAAATCAAGTTATTTACAAGAAATAAATACTCTCTCCGGTTGAAAATATAAACTAAATTTTGTTTGAGAAACTTGATTTTTTTTTATAAGATAACATTCACTTTTATTTAAGCATTTAATGAGTTTTTTTTTAAATTTTAGTATTTTACCCCTTATATTCTCTCTCCTTTTTTATTCATTTATTACATTTTCTTATTTATTTTTTTCATTAATAAGGGTATATTTGGAAAAAAAATTATATACCTTACATATTTATTGTTTTAAACTAATTTTAACTAGTTTCTTGATAAACATAAATGAATAAAGTTTAGCTTATATTTTGAATCGAGAGAGTAATGCACATGTTTCCCGTGGATCTCATGATCTCTCTTACTCACAATTATGTGATGTTTTGGTTTTTAGAAAAGGATTATTCTATAAACGCAATGCTTCTTCAATTTTTGTTTTTGGCCAGGCCGACGCAATGCTTCTTCACGAACTACCATTATTGTGGTAGGTACGGATTTTGTAGAAAAGTGAATTTGTACTACTATAAAATGGAATCCAGAATTCCCATATTTCCGTATTTTCTGTGAAGGTTGTAAAGTGAAGTGACGGAAGGGTGTTCGAAGTCAAAGGAGACCAAATGTTAGAATTTGAGGCATTTGCATTCACACTCCAATCAGTGATCCAGTCGCCCCACGTTTGTTGGCATCTGTATAACCCAACAACCCCCCTCCTTCCTTCCGTCTTTTCTCTGCTCCACATTACTCCATTTCCCATGCAAATCGTTCTGCGCAATTTGAGAGGAGTTCAACTCTGAATATTCTTTTGAATATATTCAGCCTTATTTATACATAACTTTTGATACATTTTATACAGACCAAAATTTTTTTGAATTTTATTAAGTCTAATTTAAAATTTAATAATTTTTTAACTTATTCGTATTAAATATACATTGTACCTCATATAAACAGAACCAATACAATAATAAATAAGTAAAATAGTATATCCATATAAAATTTTTTTCTCAATATCCTATAAATTAGATCAAAAAAATCTTCTCTTTTTACTCTATAAATAAGATCAGATGAGTGATTATCTAACTCAATTAAATTCAAGTGTTGTTGGATTCAATATTAATTAGTTTTATATTTGAAAATAAATGAGTCAATTTTAAGATATCACGTCCTGTTGCTATTTATTTTTTAAATAAAAATATATACAACTTATCTTTTATATATTTATCTTTTTTAACAAGTTTCTTTTTTTTTAAAACTAAGTTATACCTTCCTAACCAATGAGAGAATTTAATTCATAATCATGTTAAGGATACGGCAGAAAAATAAGGATGTCTTACATTTTTTGACTTTTATAACTACTTACAAACGAGTCGATAAATTTAAAATTTATTGGATCTTTTCTCTCTCGAAGACCTCAGATGATTCAGTTTGTAAAATTTAACACATGAAGAGAATAATATTTTTAAGAATATTATAACATTTTTCTTCTATATATATTATCCATATGTGACTGTGTGTACACCTTTCATGTGACTTGGAAAGAGTGTTGGAAATTAACACTGCCTCTACTGCTAAATATAAAGTTAGTTGATTAATTTAAGTATATTAATGAAATAAATTAAGTTAGTATTTCACTTATTTGTAATAAATATGTGTTGTCTTTTCTAAAATATCATTATTAATCAAATTTATTGACTAGAACTACTATTATTAGAAAGATTATTTTGAAAAAAAAAAAGATAAATGTGGGAGGCAAAACAGACTGGGTTTTTTATATTTAGGACCAAAATAAAAATCAACAAGATTTTAAATATGAATCAGTTATTTAAAGCTTATAATAACAACCGGAAATACCATATTATAATGTCCTTTCAAAATATGGTTAACAGTATTATAATTTTATGTTGCCAATGGTTACTACTATTTGAAAAGTTAAAAACATATCAAGTATTCCAGCGCGGTAAAACCTGGTTGATGCAAATAATAAAATCATTATAAAATAAAGCATATACTATGAATATATCAATATATATATAATAAACTGTAGCAACACATCAAATTATACCAATAAAGTAAATTCATACATTTTTCATTTTACTGTTTTCACAACTTGTTAACTAATATCTATTGATAATTTGATACAGATGACGGAGTAAAGCATGGGATTTGAATTTTAAAAATAAAAAAGGGCATGGACAGAATTCTGTTTTTTATTGAATCATTTGACTTGACTTTCAGTAATTAAAACTGAAAAAGGCTGCTTAAGGCCGAAAGACTTATTAAAAATAAATAAATAAATATGCAATCACGAGGATGATATGTTTTAATAAAAATCGTCAAGGATATCTTACAAAAATTTGTATGTTCATTAGTATCTAAATACATTTTTACTGTATATTTAAGATCTAAAAAAGGAGGTTATCCTATTTATAACTTATGAATAACATAATTTGTTACAAATTTATATAAAATTTTTAATAGGAGACTTCTCTCTAATTGTTTAGGTAAAGACAGTTTCAAATTTTTTTAAAAAAACAAAGTATAAACTCTAAAAATTATTCCTTTTTGGGGAAATATTGAAAAAATAATTATTGAATTTCAAAATTTTAAATCAGAAATTACTACAAAAATATGCTATCATTTACTTTTTGGGTATAGTCATTTTTTTATGATTATAGTAACCAATATTAATTTAGAATTTTAAAATTCAGCATTTATTTTTTTTAAGATTATTTTTGCCAACGAAAAAATATTCTTCATTTAGCCCTAATAATAATATCTAACTAACTCACACTTAAATGGAAATTGAAATGGGATGAGTACCCTACACACGTAATTATTGGCGCATTAAATTAAACGCTGTTAACTGGATCCGAGAATAATTAAATGCGGACTTCAATGAAGGAAACAGCGGCAATTGCGTCAGACACGTGGAAGAGGGGTGGCAATGAGAAAAGGAAAGCCAGCTTGCTTGGGCGAGGCTCTTTCCCGATTCTAGAAACCCACCCTAAAATATTGACATTTCCGGCATAAAATTCAACGGCATTCAAAAGTTCCTTACTTTGTCCGGTCCAATTCATATTTTAGCGTTATTAGTCAAAGAGGAGACTCCTCAAAACTTACCGGCATGGTCAGAAAGCGGAGGCACGCACAACTACGTTTACTTCTCGCACATTGCTAAATTCCCTGGCAAATCTGAGCAAATCGTTTTGTTTTGGAGTCTCTTGGGAGCGGTAGGTAGCTTACGGACTCATCTCCCCCGCCCCCCGTCCCCCTCCCGGGATTTCAGTTTTATGGATTCGTACTTCCTCTTCCTGGGCATTATTTGTATGGTTGAATCTATCTCCCGTGGTGTTGTTTTATGTTTTTCGTTTTTTAGCGGTGAACTAGCGCCCAAGATGAATCTAACGTGCTCCGAAATTGATAAGCGGAGCTATTTGGTTTGTTGCATCTGTACCAGAACCAGTGTATTGATCAAATCGAGTCTTTCTTCTGTGATCTTTTTTCAAAGAAGTTTTGGTCAGGAGTGGCGATTTAACTTTATATCATGTAATTTGATTGGTACACGTTGCCAGTTAAATTGCGAGGTTTTAAGGTCCATTGGTTTAATCATTTTCATTGGTTTTAATTCCTATATGAAATGAAGAGACGAAATTCTGTTTCCCCCCCCCCCTGATATATCTTCTGAATGGCAATATTGATTCTCTTCTGGAGTACTTTGAATAAATTCATCTTGTTTTGCCGGCAAAAATTCAGAGTGTCTGGATGAGAAAAAAATGAGATGGGAGAAGGATGGGAAGGGAACAGTTTTCCTGGCTTGAAAGTTTTAAAATTTGATGGGGTGAGATTGGGGGGGGGGGGGGGGGAGGGGCTCCCTTAGGTTCATCCTCAAATAAGAGATAAATTTTATTTCCTTCACTTCCTTTTCATTTCCGTAATTAATTTTCCAAACAAGAGTAAGACGTTTAGTTTTTTTCTATTCCATCTCCTTCACTGTATATTCCTTGATTGTTATTTGTGTTCCCTTTTCTTTTCTAAAAGGACTTGTTATCACATGACTGTTATATAACTTGAATTCTTTTTAATTTGTCTGCGTACTTTAGAAAGAGATGGCTCAGAACGGAAAAGTTGTCCCAAATTGTGCATATGGATCAAATCCTTACCATGAATGTTCGGAGGCTTGCTTGAAAAAGATCAAGGAAGGCAAACCACAGAAAAACCAAAAGAGATCAGGTTAATTCTGCTCCATGTTTGCTCTGTTATGTGCTACTTAATTTTATGTGAAGTGAAACCCCACTTCTGCATTTCTGGTGGCCTACCCTGAAACTTTGCCATAGATTTTGGGTATATGGTCTCATTCCCTGAGTCTTTTTCCCTTTTTTGTTGGTGCTTCCCTATTTGAACAGCAATTTTGGCATGCTCAGACACATTTTAATTTATAAAATCCTGGGGACTTCCCTTGTTACTTGCCATTGCAGATTTATTAAATATTTGATAATATCATTGAAATTAAAGAGAATATTTTGATGCTTCAAACTTTACCCATTTGGTTAAGTTTAATTTTCTTGGGATCATTTATGGCCATCAATGTCTCAACACATGTAAAACCTTGGTTTTTCTTTTTTAGGTTATCCCAAAAGTGTAGCCAACGGTGAGCTTGGCAAGAAGACTAATGAAGACAGACGAAGGCACTCGTCTTGCCCTAAAGCATCTAATCCTTATCATGAATGTAATGACAATTGCTACAGGGGAATTTCAACAACTGAGACAGGTTTTTCCTGCTTTCCTGTCTTTTTAGAATTATCAGAGCTTTACTTTTCTTTTAAAATTTCACGTGTCGAAATAATTTTCTAATCATAAAATTTGCTGATTCAAAGAAAGAAAGTTATCACAAAGAATTGCCTTCCACTATAGTACTAAATATCATTATTGCTTCCACTTAAAATTGACAGTAATCTCCTTGGTTTTACGGAAAATAGCATGGGAATTATCTAGGAACAGATAGGAATGAGAATGAAACAGACTGTGGTGCCATTAGATTTTATCAAAAATCTTCCATTCAAATATAATAACATCTTCGACGTCCAGATTTCATCTGGCCATTTCACAGATATATTTTGTCTTCCTTGACAAAATATTGTACTCTTCATCTCATCTTGACCATCTGCGAATCGGTTTGAATAGCTCCCAAAATAATGCCTACATGTATATCACTGTTAGAATTTAAAAACTTCACCAATACAAGTGGGCATGGACATACGATGATTATTGGTTGCTGATTGTACTCCATTCGAGTTGCAGGTGCCAATAAGATGGTCAGGAGAAAGAAGCCAGAACCACCTGTTATTGACAGTGTTCCTGCCTCAAAAATTGGAGCAATCTATTTCTCTGATGTGTCATCACCAATAGCACATTATTCTGAAAAGAATGGGGCTGAGATAACGGGTGATAAGAACACATCTCCGAAGCCAGTTTCAAGAGAAATTCATGACCAAGAAATCATGGTAGTGGCTATCTTCTATCTCATGCCTCTCCAACAGAACATAATCTCCCTCCCCCCCCCCCCTTTTCTGTTCTGTGAGACATACAGTTAAACTTTGTCTCTTGCATTTTCGTTTCTTTGGCAGCCTGCCTACCACAAAGACCTACCAAAGGATCCTGCTAAGCAGCTTGGCAGCCCAAAACACACAAATCAAGAAGAGGAAAAAAATGGTTCTCCTAAAGTTTTTCCAATCACCTATGCTGATGACAGAGGAGGTCTCACTGTTTCAAACGGCGGATCCATGGATTTTAGCAATGAAGACAGTGACGAGGATGAGATTGCATCTGTGGCTTCAGAATCCCGTGTTTCAGTTGGAAGGTATCATGTGAAAGAAAGTTATGCTCCAATCCTGCAATCAATCTTTGACAAGTATGGGGATATAGGACAAAGCTGTCATTTGGAATCAGTTGCCATGCGCTCTTATTACATGGAGTGTGTATGCTATGTGGTTCAAGAGCTACAGTCCTCCTCAGTAATGGAGTTAACGAAGTCCAAAGTGAAGGAATTAATGGCAATTCTTAAGGATGTTGAGTCTGCTCAACTCCGAGTAGCCTGGCTGCATAGTATACTTGAAGAAGTTGCTGAAAACATGGAAATCATCAATCAGCACCAGGAGGTGGAGATGGCGAAGGCTAACTGTGATCGTGAAGTTGAATCACTGAGGAAAGAGCTGGAATCAGATTTGAAAGTCTTGGCTCAGAGAGAACAAGAGGTTACTACTATCAGAACACGAATTGCTGACGCCAGAGATCGCTTGAAGGAGCTTGAGATCCAGTCTTCTGAACTGGACAGGAGCATGCTGTCAATCAAGTCTGAGGTCGGTAAATTGGATAGTAAATCCTTGTTAGATGGGTTATTGTAGTACTAATTCGGAGCAATTTCGTATTTGAAATGTCCAAAAGATCAACTAGTATATAACCAATGAATAAATTCGTTAAGTTGCATATATATAAGCAGGGTAAGAACACATAGAATAGGCACGCATCCTTACCATTGTTCTTATGTGCCTTGTGTTATCACATGACATTGTAATGTTGGGTACACATGATTGACCGTCTGGGGCTTCTGTAGTCTTGTAAATCATTTACATTTTGTGTTTTTGAAATTTGTGGTAAAACCTTATTTGCTGTACTTCAAGCATGGTTAAACAGGTATAAAGGTACTACAATGTATTAATCTCATATCCTCTGTATTCAAGTTTTATGGCAAACTATTCCTTTTTTTTTTTTTTTGGGGCCATGTGATTGAATTACTTCATGTCTCATGGCCTTCAAGCCAGTTATCATGATGGAAACTTTGATTACATTTTTTTTATATAAAGTTTTGCACTATATACGGATTTATTATTTTCATATAAATAATTGCATGGATTACTGTCGCCTATTGAAATCAAGGTAATTGCAGCAAAATTTTCTATCTAATTGCTATCTATCAATATTAGGAGAATAATGGTCAAAATTAAATGGGCCACTGGAAATTTAATTTAAATTATGGAAAATTTTATTATAAATAAAAATTTCAAATATAATCATGTAAATTATTTAATCATCAGTATGTTATAAAGAATTAGAATAGATTGCGCGAGGAATTTATTATTCATTCTTAACTTTTATGTGAAAATATCATTCAGCTGAATGATATAAAAAATTATTTAATATATCAAGCCCACCTGTATTCAACCTGAACTATAATTATATATATATTTTAGTTTATGTTATAATACATTTTCGTTTTATTTTATACTTCGTTTGTTACCAATCAAAACCTTCAAACCATTCTGTTATTAACAAAATATCGGAAATCGATCTGATCAACTAAATTTATTTAAATTATTAATATTAATAGGTAAACTACAAATTTTGAAGTTCAAATGATAACGTAAAATTTTTTAGAATCAAAATATATTTTTTCATTTTATCATACCTTCCAAATAATAAAAATATTGTAAATAAAAAAGCAAAAAAATATTGGAGATAAAAAGTTTAGTTGCTAATTTCAAAATATTTTTATTTTAATTATTAAATAATAGCAATTTTAGATTTTCAATTAAAATTTTTAAAATATTTTAGTTTACACATGATAATTTGTCAGCTTTATTATTTGGGGTGTATTTTTTATACGAAATGTTATGTTTTTCTTTTTTTGATCAAGGTAAATGTTATGGTTTATAATATCTGATTTTAAACAATCTGATCCCCAAATAAATAATTCCATTTTGATACCACAATCTCAAATAAACAAATTTCTAAATTAACGATATAATCCTATAACACTTTAAGTCTTTAATCGTGTTTGAGTTTTTTTCCTTTTACCGTTAGTCATGTTTGAGTTAAGATGCTGTATCAAAAAAAAAAGTTTTTTGGCCAAAGGGTTATATTTAATTCTTAAAACTTCAAATTATCTATCTTTTTTTTTTTTATCCTTCTTCTTGATCCTTCAAACAATTATAATACTACTCCCTCCGTTATTTATTATAAGAGACGAATAACCAATTACGTTAATAAAAAAACAGTTAAAATTAATTAAGAACAATCAATATGTAAAAAATATAATTTTTTCCAAAAATGCCCTCATTAATAAGGAGAGAGCATGAGAGAGAACAATTAAATTATTAAAAGAAAGAGAAGCGGGAGGGAGAGAGAGTGTGAGTTGGAGACAATAAATATGGGTAAAATAAGAAACCAACATAAAAAAGTAGAAATAACTTTTAAGTGTCTCTTATATATAAGAATATATAATAAGTATCGAATGTCTTTTATAATAATAAATGGAAGGAGTAACAATCAGTTTGCATGATTATTTTTGTGTGAATTCTGGACAAATAATTATTTTTAAAAAATTAAATAACTAGTTTTTTTGGGGGGTTAATTGCCGGGAAGAAACCAAGCAACGCCCAGACGCCTGCCTAGGTTGTATATTATCAGACGAGACGCACGTCGTACGGCCTCGACCATCTTGTTTTCTTGGGTTCGTGAGAGTATATCAGATTTCCGCCTCAATAACCCGATCTCGCTAGATACGATTTTTGCTCAGTTTTGTTCCTCGGCTCATGTGTTGAGACGATTAGGTCGCGGCGACAATAAATAAAGGGGTAATTATAGCTCTTCCGATTCGAAGTTCTGCGAGTGCTTTTATGTTCGAAAAGAATGTTGAGCATGAAATATTTTGTTTTAATGTTAGAATCTCTGCATTTTTTTGATCGTGTAGGGTTATCTGCAACTGGTCTATAGGAGATAGTACTTTTTGCTTAGAAAATGTCTGAAGAACGAGCGGTACACCCGGATTGCCGAAATGCCAGTAATCCTTTCCATGAGTGTAGTGATTATTGCTTTAAAGTGATAGCTGAAGCCAAAACAAAGATGCAACAAAAGGAACCAGGTTAGTCTTGCCTCAATAATTATGGCCTTCTGTATCGATTGCATTTGACAGACCGAGGTAATAGTTTGCTTGCATAAATGTAGGATATATTGTTCTCCAGTGGCGAGTTTATGTTTCTTGGGCTCTTATTGATTGCCTAAATTACATGGTCGTATAAATAAATAAGGCTTTCATAGACTCTCTTGCAGAAGCTTGCCTTCTGATTAGAACAGTCTTTCCACAGGAGGGCGTTGTAATTAAGTTTGATAGAAAGAATCCCTAAAAATGTTGATTTCGATTTTCAGATTTGCACTTAAGATTGCGCGACTGTATTGATGATATTTTATATTTGTATCAATCATATTGAACTTAACTTCTGTAATATTTCCTTCATTTTTTACGTCTATTAGAAGTCATACCAGCAAGTGGCGACAGTAAGCAAGGCCCCCCAGGTGACATGTATCCTGCTGAGTGCATAGATGATGAAAAACCCTATCTTGATGAAGAGCAGTCTGCTAGTGAAGATGAACATCCTGCAGCAGAAAACTTTGAACAAGAATACGCGAAACTTTCTAAGAGACAGAAAAAGTGGATGGAATTGAGGAACAAGATGGTAAACTGTTGAAATGTTGAGCTCAGAACTCTTTTTTAGTCTAGACAAATTAATATTCTTGTTTTCTTTCACTGGCAGCAAGAAGCAAAAAAACGTAATCAAATTGAAATTGCTGCTGAAAAAAAAAGGATGGAAGCTCCAGCAGAATCTCGGGGTATTTCTAAACAGAAGTGGCTTGAGGACAGGAAGAAACAAATTGGGAAACTTCTAGATGCAAATGGTCTGGATATGACTAAAGCATATATGCTTGACACACAAGAGTCAGCGGAAGAAAAGTACAAGAAATGGGAGAAGGATCCTGCTCCATTTGGCTGGGATGGTATGTTTTGTTCTTTTCCAAAAAAATAAGTTGGCATAATTGGTATGTTTGTCCCCGTTGATGACTGTGTTCATTCCTCTAAGATGTTTTGTATGCCTCGTTACTTACTACTTATTTCTAATGGTAAAATGCTTCTTTGGCGCTAGACTTCCATTGTTTCTTGAGGTTGAAGTGAGAGGTGCGTAGCACCCTACCCCTGATTGTAGGGGCCTGGCCTGAATTATAAAAAGGTCAGGACCTCGTGTGACTTTTGAGTGTTAAAATTTGATTTAAACTCGTCACATTGAGCTCCAAGAGAGGAGCACTTTTTTGTCGATCTTATTTGTTATTTTGTCTTAAAGCTTTTAAAAGTTTTGGGCCTAAAAGTGTAAGAAAAAAAATTATTTTTTTGATGGGCTTAGATTAATTGAAACTTCATTTCATTGGCAGAAATCTAGGGAGAAAAAAGATTTGACTTGGCCCTACTAAACCAATGTGAACCAACCTTTCAATAGGCATGGTTTGGTTTTAGTTGATAACTTCAAACTAACTGAAAATCTGATTCATAGTGAGTCGATTGATTTTCAGATTGTTTTTTAACGTGGACTTATTTATGGCCCCACAACTCGATGGGTTTTTGGTCCATTACTAGTAATTATTTTCTCTTCTTGAAATTATGCCTGTATGTAATTATTTATTTATTTTGGTGGATGAAAATTAACTATAGCTGTTTGCATTGAGGGTATCACGTTGGCAAATTGCATGTTGCCTTTAGGAAAGTTCTGCTGCTTATTCTATCTTGTTATTAACTCAAGCACAAGTCCATAAAACACTTTCTATGGGTTTAGAGTGATTCTAATGGGTACGAAGTTAATGCATCTTCTTGATCAGTTTTTA